AAGGGGGTAGTTTTGGATTGTTGCTATCTTTTCTGGATCTGTTTTTATCACATTGTGTGACACAATATAGCCGAGAAAAGGTGTTTCCAATTTGAAAAACTTTGATTTCTCCAATGATATTTTCATATTGGCATCTTGTAAGATTTTTATAATTATCAATAAATCTTTGTGGTGCTGGGTCAATCATTCTGAGAAAACAATTATATCGTCCATATAGACGTGACAGATTTTACCAATTTGATTTCTGAAAATATCATCCATGGCTCTTTGGAAAATTCGGGGAGCATTAGTCAACCCGAAAGATAGCCGTAAGAACTCGTATTTTCCGTTGTTAATGGATTCCTTCATGAGTATTTGATGGAATCCTGATTCTAAATCCAATGTAGAAAATATTTTGTCTTGCCTAGGTTTGCCAGAATGACCGATGGATCCTGCATAGGATACCGATCTGGTGTGGTATTTTCATTTAATTTTTGAAATCCAAATACTAGTCTGTGCTTAGGGCTACCGTCGTCGTTGAACCCTTTTTTCGGTAGACCTAGCACTGGTGAGTAATACGGACTCTTGCTTGGTCTAATTTTTAAGTTTCCTCCAATTTTTAAGTTTGATTGGAGGAGGCATTATTAATATTATTTATATGATAAGTGTCGGAATTATCATCGACGGCGTGTTCCGGATTTTGTAATCCGAAACTAGTGTACTTTTGATTAGCGGAAGGAACATCGCTTCTCGGGATTTTCGACTCCCAAGTTGGGTACACTATTTTTCTATCTATACTATCCTCTACAATAATTGATTCTGCTGTAAGTACTTCCTGTTTGTCATAATATTTTTTAGGATAAATTCTCTTAATGGGAGAATATTATTCTCTATTGTTTATAATGCTTTATACGATTGATTATCGTCATCGAAACGTAATTTTTCCTCTTTTCCGTTGTATTTTATAATCTTCTTTTGTATATCGATCTTAATACCTATTCTTTTCAAGAGGTTACATCCTATTAATAAATCAGATTCTAAGCCCTCTAATTCATAGAATCTCTGTCTTAAACATAACTATGTTATGGTAATATTTAATAATGGTGTGACCAATAATGGTCGACACTCTTTTGTATATTGGTAATTCATATTTATTCGGCTAGATTTCCTTTTTTATATAACACGCTGTGGCTCCAGTATCAGTTAGTATTTTTAGTTCTTTGATAAATTTTTTATCTACCCTTGTTAAGTATGGTATTTCTGCTCCTGGCTTTGGTCTAAAAATGTTCTTCTTCGATATTATTTACCCTCATTGCCTTTGGTTCCGGTTGGTAAATTGTCCGTTTTGTTGATAATTTTTCTGGTTCTCGGTGTTTACAACCGGTGGTTTATACCGGTTGGAACTATTTCCTTGATTGTAATGATTTGGGTATTGTCCGTAATTTCTGTTGTTGTAGTCGCGTCTAAAGTTATTGTGTTAGTTATAACTGACGGGCGGTCGGTTTTGAGTTTAGATGGACTCGTCAATCTCCATTGGTTCTGGAGTTGGGTATTGAAGATTATTATTGGGTTTCCAGTTATTATTCTGGCCCCATTGATGACCCCATTGATTCTTGTTAAAATTTTGAGTCGGCTTCTGATTTTGTTGTGAGAAATTGTTTTTGTTGAAGTTCGTATCATTTCGGTTGTACCGGTAATTGGGACCGGGTTTGTTTTGAAAATTCGAATCATGATATCTCTGATTCAATCCAGTGAAATTATGGACAAATCTTGCTCTCATCTGGTTGCTTTCCATCTCCTGGACCAATGCCATTGCGTTTGGCAAGTCGGTCGGATTCATGGAATATAGAGTGGTTGATAATGGGCGATAATTAAGGCGTTTAGCCTGTGTCTGTTATTAATTTCGTTAGTAATAGCTTGGTTCCGTCCATATGTCAAAATGGTCTTATTTGTCAGCAAAGTCAGCTTCCTGTACACTTGATTAGAATATTCCATAATGGTAATTTTTCCCTGTGTCAAGATACTTAGTTCCTCTATTATATGCAGTGGCCTTCGATCACTGAACACGAAATCTAACCTTGCTAAAATGGCATGAAAGTGTAATACAGTGCCATGTATGGTCAATGCGTCGTTCGCTTTATCTGTTATTTTATTTCTGAGGATTGATAGCGCTGCGAAGTATCTTTTACTTTTTATAAAATGCCTGATGGATTACTCGTATTCGCCATTTTTAATTGGTTAAATTGCTTTACTAAATCATCCAGGGTGAATTTACTTCTTAAACGTAATTGTCCAATAACTCTTTTTTCTCTTAATTGCCGATTGATTGCTTACACTAACTGTTTTTCTTTCCTTCAACTAAATTTTTTTTTAATTTGCCAGGGGTATTTATTTCTTAAAAATAATTTTATTAAAATTAAGATTCTCCTCGTAGTTGTTGATGATTCTCCTGGTGTTTGTTTATTGGTAGCTAGGGATGGCCCTCAGCTCTTCCCTCCTTCTTTTTTGGTTTTTTTTTTCGATTAAAATGGTGTTTTGGCGAGGGATTGCCCCCAGCCCTTCCTTCTTGGTAGATGATTTGTTGATTTTTTTGTTTTTCACCAATTTTTTCTGTTTTACTGGCTAAGATGTTTTATGTTTTCAATGTATAGCTTTGTGTTTATCAATATTTATTCCTTTATAGAAAATGTCTGGTTATTAATTCTTAATGATGGTGTGATTTTTTATCGTCCACCTTTATTTCTCATCAGAATTTTCACTATTATTTGTTTGTGGATTTTTGTATTTTTTCACTAAAAATGTTTAACTGTAGTACTTAGTTCGTGGTATGACCTTTAGTTTTCACCTGAACATTCACTACTGGGTTGGCGGCGCGAGTCCGTGAATTATGATTCGACTTTTTATTCACCGAATTTTTTAATCCGAACTTTCGTTGGCACCGCCCCTCTTTGGGCGACAATTAAGATTTCTCTAACGAATTCATTAAAAAAAATATATTTTTTAGTTTTTGTATTTTTTATTGGATATTTGAGAATACATTAAGATTAACTACGCGCTAGCTTATGCTAGTTGGAATTCGATGCAACGGAACACCGTTGATCTTCACGGATTTCTTCCAACGAACCTCGGACCAGATAGTGTTAACTTTATTTTGTCTTTTGCAAATCGAATTGAGATAGGCTCATTTCGACTTGTGATGAAATTCGATTGTCTTGCGTATGTAATTGGTGCTGCATTAATGCACAGTAGAAGCGGAAGCTTCTGTTTATGTTTATGCTCGCTGGTGGTCCAGCTGAAGGCATGGGCAAAGACAAAAGTCAAAGTTGTGTGAATTGATTTGAAGGCTAAGGCAAAAGCCAATTGCCAGATACAAAGGCAACAAATGAACGGACTTGTTTTGGACGAAAGTGTTTATGCTTTAAATGCGGGGCACTGTATTAGGGGTTATATAACTTGTACGTTTTTATGAAATAAAATGCATGGCGGTATATTCAGGAAAACTATTTAAAAAATACTTATGAAGTTTTTTGCACCCTTGCAATGTTCGGGTTCGTTAGGCGAAATGTCATGCTGTTTCGCGTCTACCTTTGTAGTCTGCTTTATATAGAGTGGAATATGCTTCCATTCCATCTGCTACTGTGCATATCAACAGACTTGAACGGCTTCAGAAAAAATGTATGCCATCTCGTCCCTAAATTTCTCTCTGATCCCCCGTCCATCATATCTTGGCCAGTTTTGCCTCGTCCATAACGGCTCATTGAAGGATCCAGAGTTCGATTACAATGTATTGAACGGAAACATTGATAGTCTTTAACTTTTGGGCTTAATTAATTTTCATATTCCAGTGAGAAGTCTTCGCACCTTGTTTCCTTTCAATGAAGCCACTGTAAGGACCATTTATGCGCGACAATTACCCATCTTGAGGGCCTCTCGCTTACTTAAATCTCTTCCCTCTTTATTTGGGGAGCTGATATTGTTAAGTACAGTCGAGTGCCCCGACTATCAGATACCTGTTACTCAGCTAGTGGAAGTGCGAACGAGAAAATTTGTCATTCTCTGAAATGTCGGTAGAAATGGCGAACAAAAAAAATATCAAAACATATTTCAAAAGTGTGGACGTGGCAGTTTTTGGCGGCTTGTGGCGGTAGAGTGGGCGTGGCAAAAAGATTTTTGGCCAATCGAAAGAAATTTACAAGACTAATACAAAATTTAAAAATATCAAAACATATTTAAAAAGTGTGTCCGTGGCAGTTTTTTTTTACTAAAATCTGCATGTCTCAACTATCTAGTTTTTACAGTTCCTGAGATCTCGACGTTCATACAGACGGACGGACAGTTGGGCGGACGGACGGACATGGCCACTTCGGCTCGGCTATTAATCCCGATTTTTATGGTCTGAAACATTTCCTTCTGCCTGTTACATACTTTTCAACGAATCTAGTATAACCTTATACTCAACGAGTAACGGGTATAAAAAGATCTTGTAAATTATTTCTTATTTAGAATTAAGAGTATTGTACTTTTTAAAAAAACCATATAAGGATATATATATGTGCCGTAAATAATTAAATAAATAATACAAATAAAATTAAAATTAATAGTCCTCAAATAATTTCTACAGCTAGTTCCAGGTCTCAAATGCTATGTTTAATTTCTTTGTGTCACCCTACGCTCTAACACTCACATCTATGGCATATTTATTTGTATCTTACTTTATTATTTGTATTGCCAGTAATAATAGGAAAGCGAAAAATATTGAAATATGTAAATGAAATATAAATTTAAATTATGAGGGTTTCACCATTATTTTGCCGTTTTCTATCGATAGTCATCAAATTTTTAGCGAAGTAACGGCCATCCGATATTCAAGGTAATCGTCCATCGTATTTTCAGTTTGTTTGGTTAAGTGCGTCAAGCTAGCGTCGATGAGTTACACTTATCTTTCTTAAGCCTTATAAACGTAAGCGGTACATAGATAGTTAGATCTTTCTTTTCTGAATTTATTTGAATTTTAATTTTTGGGAATTCACCTCCAAATAACGGAAAAATTAATAAATAAAAAACATGGTTATGTTCCATTTTGCACCGTTCCCTACGCCGCTAACTCATCGACGCTAGTTTGACGCATATTATTTAGATATATAACAAAATTCTTATATATTCTAATGTTCCTTACCGCTCGTTCTACAGTTACCGCTATGTATAGACGTTACCTTGATACTGAGTCAGTATTTGCATAAGTTCAGAGAGTGTTTTGCTGGCTTGATGTGAATTTATAAAATAAAAAGTTTAATACAACTTTTTACCTGCACCATGTCAGGGTTGAGCAGAGCTTTACAGCTTACAGATATAGATGATTTTATTACGCCCTCACAGGTTCGAAACAACGATACACCGAAATGAATTGAATTCCATTTTAATTGTATTCAGATGTGCATTAAACCCGTGAAAATAGATAAGGCAAAGTCAAAGACTGGGGCAAAGATCATGATTAAAGATGATAGCTGCTTTGAGGAATCAGAGGTAAGAATCTCTCGGGAGTCTTTTTTTTATAGAACGAAATTGTTTCATTACAGAGTGGAAAAAAAAAACTTAATAAAGTTGAAATTACTCTGCAAGACTGTCTTGCATGCTCTGGTTGCATCACATCAGCCGAAGGAGTCCTGATCACGCAGCAGAGCCAAGAAGAGTTGCTTAGGGTCCTTCAAGAGAATTTAACGAAAAAAGCCACTGAAGACTGGGGTAATGTGCGTACGATCGTGTTCACCATTGCCACCCAGCCTCTACTAAGCTTAGCCCATCGCTATCAAATAGGTGTGGAGGATTCTGCCCGTCATCTTGCTGGCTATTTTCGCAGTTTGGGTGCCGACTATGTTTTGTCTACTAAAGTGGCGGACGATATCGCGTTGCTCGAATGTCGTCAAGAATTTGTAGAAAGATACCGCGAAAATGAGAACTTGACCATGCTTAGCTCCTCTTGCCCGGGATGGGTTTGTTACGCAGAGAAAACACACGGAAACTTCATATTGCCTTACATTTCGACGACCCGATCGCCACAGCAAATAATGGGAGTGCTAGTGAAGCATGTCTTTGCCGAAAAGCTGAATGTTCCTGCGTCGCAAATCTACCATGTGACCGTGATGCCTTGCTACGACAAGAAGCTTGAGGCTTCTCGAGAAGATTTTTTCAGCACGGCGAATAACTCACGTGACGTAGACTGTGTAATTACTTCAGGTTGTGAGAGCCAAAAATACTATTCGACATAATATGAATGTAATATATTTTTGCAGTTGAAGTGGAACAGTTGCTAAGTGAGTCCCAGCGGACGCTGGCGCAGTACGATCCCGTTGATTTGGACTGGCCATGGTCTAATGTCCCTCCAGACTTCATGGTATGGGCCCACGAGAAGACGCTGTCTGGCGGTTACGCAGAACACATATTTAAGTTCGCCGCAAAAGAGCTTTTTAACGAAGTCCCAAGAAGTGAATTGGAATTCAAACAGCTCAAAAATCGCGACTTTAGAGAAATTATACTTAAAAAAAATGGCAATACTGTCCTAAAATTTGCTATTGCCAACGGTTTCCGGAACATACAAAACCTGGTACACAAACTGAAGCGTGGAAAGGTATCAAACTACCACTTCGTTGAAGTAATGGCATGTCCCTCAGGTTGCATAAACGGTGGAGCACAAATACGGCCCACTACAGGACAACACGTTCGTGAGCTTACTCGGAAACTGGAGGAATTATACCACAACCTTCCACAGTCGGATCCCGAAAACTCCTTAACAAAACTTATTTACACCGACTTTTTAGACGGCTTTCAAACTGAAAAATCATATGAGCTGCTGCACACCCGTTATCATGATGTAGTATCTGAGCTCAGTAAATCGCTTAATATTAATTGGTGAACGTATTGTGCGTATTGTGCTGTTCAGGATATTGCCAGGAGCAAAAACTGTTTCGCTCACGCTTTTAAATTATCTTTTAATATTTAAAATAAACAAAATCAAATAAAAATTCATTTTAACGAGGTGATATAGTGACAATGTCCCCTTCAACTTTAAAAATGTATGATATCTTATAATTTCTTATACATTTAAGAAACTATTTTCGGGTAAGGTAACATTTTTACTCTCTAAATAAAGATTTGTTAAGCTTAAGCTGCTTAATAAAAAATAGTGGGTGCATGGACTCTAAAATTAAGATAATTGACAAACAATCTATGGGCAGTACTGATTGATGTGTCTTGTGTGCCGCATACTTACGTATTTTCTTTTCCAGAAATTGTTCTTTCATAATTATACCCATACCTCGCATAGTGAATAGTGGAGGTCCTAAAGTGTCGTCAAGGAGAATAATTTTTTGAAATTGTCTCTTCTAAATTTCTACCCTTACCTTAAATAAAACGCCTCGGCGAAAGCGCTATCATCGCAGGGGGTTGCGATAGGGTAACTTGATTAAAGAGTAGTCGTTCTGACGATGGGGGATTGAAGAACCATTGGATGTGTGGGCTTGTGAAACCTCTAGAAAACGCGAATTAGATAGTATTTATAATTACGATAGTATTGGGTGTAGCGGTTCGTTACATGAGAAACGCTCGCATAGAGAAAGCGAGTAATTAAGTGATTTTCACGTTTTGTAGATTTTTAGGTTTAACATGGTCTCATATGTCAATCTACATTTTTCGATTAAAAAATTGCTGTCGGATTTTATGCTCAAAGTCTTACTCAAGAACACCTATTTTCTTACCGCACGAATCGGTCAACAGTTATTTGTAAGCTCCGAAATTTATCTATATATAGTGACATATGTAATGCTCAACCAACCACATAACATATATCTACAACATATACCAGCCACTTTATATATTCTCTTACTTAGCAACAATAGAACATAGAACCAAGAATGCCTTAGCACATAAGAACCCCAACTTCTTGGTGACAATAACAAATTCGGCCGATGTAAACAATTTAGCATAAACATCCGCAGTCTTATTCGTTATTCCCACTAGAAGGGTGAAAACTGCTTACACAGCTTAAAGGGTCAAAACTTTCCACGTAGCTCTGACGTTCGCTTAAGTTTTTGATTAATAAAAATATTTTTTTTATAAACCAACAAACCGCGAAGTTGTAATTGGCGCAGTCGGTAGGATCCGCGTGTGAACATAATCTCTTAGAGCTAATAGATTAGTTCGAGATTAATGAAGCGCAGCTCGTGGCGAACAAAGTTTCGTTTGTGCTTCAGTTTAGACAAAGCAGATCCGCAAAAGAATCTATGTGACAAAATATTTGTGAATAGTTATCTAACTCTCGATGTTGGATACTATTAATACAAATTAAAAACTGCAAGTGACCATTAAAGCGTGACCCACCAAAATAAATAAAAGGTGTGACTGTTACCAGGTCAGTGTAGCCCATCTAACATTGATTGGACCGCTACGAAGGTGTGTGAATTTTAAAATTAAAAAAAATAAAAACCCCGGTATTAACCTACCGAGTGATTCAAAAGCAGAAATCAACAATAGCCAACAACATGGCACAACCCAGTGAACAAATTATGATTCTATCCGAGTTACATTTGAATCAGGCTTTGGGCCAGATAGCCACATCCCAACATTTGACGGTTCCACAAGAGAACTGGCATCATTTGTGAGACGTGTGGACTTCGTAATGTCCCTATACCCGACAACAGATAAGAGGCAACATAGTGTACTCTACAGTGCCATCGTGATGCAGCTGTCCCGACACGCACAAGAAGTGTCCCAGCTACAACAGTGCAACACTTGGGCTGAACTACGATCAGTCCTCATTGAAGACTTTACAACACGTACTGGAGTGGTAGTATTCGTAATCTTTGTATCTTTGTATGTATTCGTATCTTTGTAGAAGAACTAGAAAATAAGATTTTCGAAATTTCAAGTAAATTATCACTAGAAAATAATTATACAAATACAACTCTTTATACCGCCGCAATGGCTAATACTATAAAATATGTAATTTATAAAAGAATTCCAGACAGAATGTTCATGACTTTAGCAAGGTACGACATTACAACAACAACATTATTAAGACAAGTAGCGCAAAGGGAAGGCCTTTACGATACAATTGTATCAAATACAGAAAAAGCTAAAGCTAAATCAAACAGTCCATCTACATCACAAAGCAGTAGTAAAAATAATGATTCTCAAAAGAATAAAGGAAATAATAATGACCAAGGTACAAAACCTTATTATATTCAAACACAGCAAAATCAAAATCAAAATAATTATGCAAGTAATAATTCAAAAAAAGTTGAAAATAACCAAGCGACATACAGTGAGTTCAAACAAAAGTTAGACCAAGGTAGAGCGCAAAACGCTCTAAATGATAAAAAACCCAAATCTTATTCTACTACTAACCAACCCCAAAAAAGGCAGCGTGAAAGTTCCAGTGGTCAGTCTAAAATGGACACCAGTGAAAATTTTCATCAACTTGCCTCGGTATCGGAATCAGAAGTAGAAGAAGAAGAACCTACCCACCCATTCATACAAATAACTATGAACGATATCAAATGACACAGGTTCATCAATAAATTTGACAACTTTTTTCAATTGTCCGATTAACTCAAAAGCTCCATTGGATGTACACACAATAAACGGTCAAATTATTTTAAAATCAAAAATTGCATTAAAACCTAGTAAACTATGTCCGACAAAGCAAACATTTTATTTACATAAATTCTCAGAGAAATACGACATTTTGTTAGGCAGGGAATATTTGGAAGATTCCAAAGCAACTATATGCTATACATCCAATACAGTTACTTTAAATAAATACACATTTAAATTGCAACTTGAAGATATTAATGAAGAAGAAGAAACACCTAAAGAGAGTTTAAAAGAAAACCTGTTAGATTCCCCAAATATTGAGTAGTCAATTATGTAATTGACAATGAAATCAATGAAACAAATGAATTTCGGCTTGATCATCTAAACGATGAAGAGAGGAAAGCCCTCACCAGTGTCTTATACGAGTTTAGTGACATACAGTACACAGAAGGTGAAAATTTGACCTTCACAAGTACAACTAAGCATGTCATAACAACTAAACACGAAGACCCAATTTACAGACGCCCATACAAATACCCACAAAGCTTCGACAAAGAAGTCGAAAACCAAATGAAAGACATGATGCAACAAGGCATCATAAGAAAATCGAATTCTCCGTATTGCTCTCCGGTTTGGGTAGTACCCAAAAAGCCAGATGCATCGGGAAAATCGAAATATCGCATAGTCATTGATTATCGCAACCTCAACGAAATAACCGTTGATGACAAATACCCAATACCGGTAATGGATGAAATATTGGACAAGCTTGGAAATTGCCAATACTTTACAACCATTGACCTCGCAAAAGGTTTTCATCAAATACAAATGCATGAAAATTCCATAGCGAAGAAAGCTTTTTCCACCAAAAATGGTCATTTTAAATATACTCGAATGCCATTTGGTTTAAAAAATGCACCCGCAACTTTTCAACGTTGCATGAATAATCTCCTAGCAGATTTAATATTCAAAAACTGTCTCGTATATATGGATGACATAATTGTGTATTCCACTTCATTGGAAGAGCACATAATGTCTTTGCGAAAGGTATTCTTAAAGCTCAGGGAAGCAAATTTAAAATTACAGCTAGACAAATGCGAATTCCTTAAAAAAGAAACTGAATTCCTAGGGCATATAATTACAACAGATGGTATTAAACCAAATCTTACAAAAATTAATGCCGTAGTGAATTTCCCTATACCAAAGTCCACTAAGGAAATAAAATCATTTCTTGGTCTTTGCGGTTTTTACCGCAAATTTATTCCAAACTTCGCTAAAATAGCAAAACCAATGACATTACGACTAAAAAAAGGCTCAATAATAAATATCAAAGACTCAGACTATTACTTAGCTTTTGAAAAATTAAAAGTGTTAATAACGTCCGATCCCATATTAATACACCCAGATTTTAAAAAGTCTTTTTCACAATTTTGTTATAGGCGCGGTATTATCGCAAGAGCATAAACCTATATGCTATGCGAGCAGAACTCTGAACGAACATGAAATTAATTATTCCGCAATAGAAAAGGAACTCCTTGCTATTGTTTGGGCCACTAAATATTTCAGGTCCTATTTATTTGGTAGAAAATTCGAGATCTATAGTGATCACAGGCCAGTGGTTTGGCTTTATTCAATTAAAGAGCCAAATATGAAACTTCAGAGATGGAAAATCAAATTAAATGAATTTGATTACCATATCAAATATCTCCCTGGTAAAGAAAACCATGTAGCAGATGTTCTATTAAGAGTAAAAATTTAAGAAAACTTCCTAGGAGAAACCTCCAGTAACATTTCGTTACCAACACAAGCTACTATTCACAGCGCTCAAGAAGATAACCAATCTTATATTTCCTTAATGGAAAGACCAATTAATTACTACACAGGCAGATATAATTTATAAAAGACGATAATAATACCTTAGAAACCAAAGGATACTTTCATAAAACAAAAATTAAAATTCAGTACATAGAAATGACAAATGTCCATGCCAAAGAATTAATTAAAGAATATTTATGTACTAAAAGAAGCGTAATTTTCTTTAATAACGAAACAGATTTCCTTACATTTTTGTCCTTACAAATTGTCAGTCCTAACATAACTAAAGTTATGAAATCAAACATCAAATTAAAAGATATTGAAACATATTCAGAATTTAAAGAAATAATTATAAAAAGCCACAGAGAACTTTTACACCCAGGAATAGAGAAACAAACTAACCTTTTCAAAGAAAAATATTATTACCCAGACTACCAAAACTTAATACAGAACATTATTAATGAATGCGAAGTATGTAACATATCCAAAACAGAACATAGAGATACTAGACTAAACAATGAGTTAACACCAGAAACTTTTAATCCCAGGGAAAAATATGTTATTGATTTTTATTTAATCAATAATAAAACATTCCTGTCATGCATTGACATTTATTCCAAATATGCCGCCTTGATTGAAGTTAACAGTAGAGACTGGCTGGAAGCGAAAAGAGCTCTCTTTAAAATTTTCAATGAAATGGGAAAACCGTCCGAAATAAAGGCCGATAAAGATTCAGCTTTTATATATTCCGCGTTACACTTA